GTGGCGGTGACCCTGGTGTCACCTGATGTCGCAGCCCCCGGATGGATCGAGGGCCTGCAATCCTGGTTGTGCCTGTGACGTTATGGAGATTGTAAAAGCCTTTGACCTCAGAGGTTGCTGGCTCAGCAGGTGAGCCTGTCCCCGCGGGGCTGATGTCTCTGCGGGGGCCTGGCAGCGTGGGCACAGTGCCTGCCTCGCGCCTTTGCCCAGGCAAAGCAGCATTCACCTCTCTGTTCTACGCGGAGTTCATGGCAGATCGCATCTTGTTACTTAGCTCTCGCGTTTTCAGCTTAGCAGTGAGAAGGAGGTTTAGAAAGTGTTTCTATGCAAGTGGTTTAAAGGAAGAAGAAAAGCCTAAACCCTTAGAAAGAGCTGTACTTTTTTTGCAGCTGTGACAGTATTCATAATGCAGCAGCTGCCAGTCACCCCAGAGATGCTGAGAGCTGGATTTCATTAAGTATACCTTGAGAATACACACAGCATGTGTTTTTCTCCCCCAGCTGGGAATTGTGTTTTGCTGCATGTTACTCAGTACGTCATACCGTGGTGAGCGAGTCTTTAGGAAATGGCTGCAGCGGTGACATCCTGCATTATGCAATGCAGGAGGACAACACTCGGCTCCTGGGCTGCCTGGGGCTGCTCTGCAGCAAGCAGAGCTGATCGTATGAGAAAGGCCAACCTGGTCCATCCTAGATACAGAGAAAGTCTCTCTGTGAGTCATCTCTGTGCTCATTTTAGAGCTGGGAGGAGGGGAGGATAGGACGTTTCTTGTGTACCAGGAAAATGATCGTCAGGTACATGCAGGTCAGCATCTTCTCTGGAGATGCACAACTGTGTCCTCACTGCCTCCTGGGATCACAGGGAGAGGAGTTCTGTGTGGCACACAACACCGACCCTCTCTGCCCCTCAGCACAACTGCAGACTCCCAATGGTGCAAATCAGCGAATTCCTGTTTTTTATACTGAGGCTGTTAGCAAAAGCATTAAGATTGCTCTCTGGATTCAACCTTGATGAGCTACAGTAGTTCCACACACACCCCACCCCACCCCCTCCCGCCTCTTCTAACATAACCAGTTGTCTCTCCTCTTCCTCATTCCTTATGTGCTTTGCAGTTTCTTCTTAACTATGGCTTCCCGCCTGATACTGCAACATTACTGAAGTTCACCTGAGGTCTCCACTACCTCTCCCTTGTCTAGAGAGTTTGGTGTTACCAAAGATGTCAGATGACTTTGGCACGGTCCTCTTTGGTCAGCCTCTCCTGCACTTTATCTAATTTACTTTGATATGTTCAACTACTTCCCCCTCCAAATTTGTTCTACAGCCTGGTACCCTGTGGATCAATAGACCTATGGAAACGGACTTGTCGTTGCTTAGCTCACTGCCCTTTGCTTGCTGTCCTCTCTGCCCTGCTGTTTACAGAGATGTTTTGTGTGTGTTGCTCTCAGAGCTGACAGGTATGTTAACAAGCCTTGCTACCTGCGCTACACTTTCACATGCCAGTCCTCATCTCACATGAAGATTATCCATCCTTCTTTAGCTTTGCTCCATTAAACTCCTGGCATTTTGCTGCAGGCTCTTCCTCACTTACATCTGTTTGCCATCATGGCCTTCTGGGGCATTTTGCTACAGCCCCTATGTAGAGCTCTCCCTAAAACTTATTTCTGTTCTCACCTTATTTCTCCTTGTGTTTTCTAAATTGCATGGCTGAAAAGCCTTGCTTTTGGACTTAGTATCTAACTCAGCATGGTGTTTAGCAATCCCAGCTCTTCCCCAAAATGTTCTTCTCCCAAGGTGTTGCTGTTCTCTCCTGATTCATCTTTCCCCTATTTGTAGCATTTGGTCACCCCCAGCACCCTATGTTTGTAGAGAGCCACCCTCCAGCCCAGCCCTGAACCCCTCCTAAAATCTCTTTTCCCAGTTCCGAATACAGATTCCCATGCCAGCTCCCACACTGCGACAGATGTTCGCTCCCAGCTGCCTTCAGTCCCATCCACTGCCGTTTCAGCCCTGTTCACTTGACTATTTAATTTCTAAAATAAAGATTTCCCATTTGTAATTAAGAATCTTCATCACCGTCTCCTTTTCTTTGTCCGTTTGAATTACGGTGAAGTATCTTGTTTGATCCAATCAAGGTTGTTTTCCATGGCCAGGTCTTCTGTGACACCTCCACTAATTAGAGAGTAGGCTCATTGCTTGTTGTTTCAGCGAGTGCTTAATGAAGGCATTCATCACTTTGCACATCCAAGGTGCCTACAGGACAGCAAGTGCTCCCACTGATGAGGCCTGGTCTCTTTCTAGGAAATTAAAGTCTCCGGTAAGGATGGGCATTGTTAAACACCTCCAAGTCCTTAGGTCCCTGAGAAACCTCTAGAGAAACCTTGCCAGCTTTCTTTTCCTTCTCCCATTATTAACTCGAACAGGTTTTGTATCCTTTATTTATTTTGGTTATTACAGTGTTTATACAAAATACCCATCACATTTTATATCTTTCTTTCCTGGATAACAATGTATACTTCTGATCTGTTTCACCAATGATTAATGTTCTGCCACATCCACTATACCCATAATGTCATTTTTTTGCATAATGTATAAGTAACACAATTTCACTGCCAGAGCTCCTTGCCACAGTACACAAACATTTGTTCTTTCTTACTGAAAATGTCAAGGGATGATTAAATACAGCACTTTGGGACTCTTGCTCACACCTCCAGCAGCACTTTCCCTTTTCTGTCTCTCCTCCTACTCACCGATATCACACTATTATCCTTGTTTACCTGATGCATTTCTTTTCTCTCGTGATATCCTAGCTCTGAAGATGATCAGTTTTTTTTCGTCTCCAGTCTTTTATAGCAGGGTTTGAAGGGAAGTTTTCCTTCATTGGTTTCTAGGTATGCTCATACCTAACCTCCGTTGAGCTCACTTCCATTAAGGTGCATTGCTGTTTGCCTTGAGTTTACTCCATAGATGAGTTGCAAATCGGCTCTCCCCCAGCAGGACCTTGTGTAGATGGGATTACCCTCCACGGACCTGGGGAATCAGAGAATCATAGAATGGTTTGGTTGGAAGGGACCTTAAAGACCATCTAGTTCCAACCTCCC